ACATTCACAGGGCTTTGTGCTTGCCAATCTCTCATTGCTCCACAAAGAAGCTGTGAACCAACTTTATCCTGCAAACCAGAAACAGGAACTGAATGTGCCTCCAAAACAGGAAGCAGGGGACAGTCCCTATAGTGCAAGAGAGGAACTGACCTGCAGCACAAAACTCCCAGAAGGCTGGCACCAGCCAAGGCCACAGGTGAGACAAGGCCACACTGTGCATTTATAATTAGGCCTCACCTACAAGTGGAACCAACTTGAACTACCAACTGATGAATGCCTTAAGAGACCACAGGAGATGGAGTTGAGGGAAGAAACCAGAATCCCAGGAGCCTGGAAAGCAGGGTCAGTCACAGCAATCTGCAGTTGACTATTTAGAGTAAGAAATGGATGCTCTAAAAACAAATTTACTTTTGTCCTTTGGAGTTTTCCTCTTAGTTTTGCTTTTCTTTCCAATTTTCTAGTAAAGCTCTTTTTGGCAAATTATAATTTTGCCTTCAAGAAAGCAAATGGAAACACAGTGCTTTGGGTTCATAGAGGGTGGGTAATGGCAAGCCAGCAAAAAAAAGTCAAAAGGCCAGAGAAAACACATGTGTGGAGCACCACTGGGATATATTTTTTAAATCCCTTCTTAACCACAGTTTTCCTTTACATTGGCTCTCTTGATAATTTTGCTAAGGCTTGTTTCTTCCGTGAAGAAACAGTGACTGAAAGGTGGGAAGAGGCTGTAAGGTAGTTTAGATCAAACACTACTCTGTTGATTGGCATGATAGTTTTCACTGATCCCTGGTGAAATAGGGACCAAAATAATAAATAATGAGTTTTTCCATACACTTACTATATGCAAAAAGCTAGCCTTTATTCTAAGCTTATGCCAGTCCTTCTTTTATTCCAGACCTCACCACAGCCCCTGCTGTCATCACCACCAAGCCAAAGAGAGGTTCCTGGCCCATATGCTACCGCAAGATAGATAAAAGCAAAAGTTACTGATTCTAACACAGGCATGGGCATATTTAAAGTCCCAATTTTAGGTTTCACTAACATAATTTTCCTGAATGTTTAACAGTGAATGGGTTTCATACTTCAAGTATACTAAGTTAACACGGCTTCTTCTAGGATAGTCCTAGAGCCTCTAACTACCATGGATAATGCTGTTTCTAACGTAAAATGTACTCCTGGTTCCAAGCAGCAACCCTAAATAACTTAACCTGGATTAGGGAATATAATTTCTTTATGTTTCATTTTTCTTATAAGTAAAATAGCTGAATAATAAAGCCTATTCTAGCTATATTTCAAAGAACTAATGTTCATTAAAAAATTTTTTTGAGACCCTGCCAGTTGAAGGGTCTGTGTACCTGAGTGGAATAGCTCTTTATAACTAACATCTGTATCGCTGACAACTCTTAGCTTTCCTAGAGATTTACATTGCAGGGGACTTGAAATATTAACTTGGCATTTGCCATCTGAGTGATAGTCTTGTATATATAAACATGACGTATTTTCATAAAAAGCTTTGATAGAAATTAGTTTCCCTCAGAACAGGAATGAGAGAGTGACAAATGTAGTTAAAAAACAAACCAGATTATAGTTTAATGGTCAAACAGGGAAATTCGGTGAAAACCTTTAACTGCTATCTATTCTTTAAAAAACACACCAACCAATACACATAGATAGAAGAAGCTTGTGAAAATGTAACCAAACTTTAAGTTCTTCCTCATGCCATTAAGTTGAGCTATGTGAACACCAACATGCCTTTTAAATGTTAAGGCCCTCATTAAGCTGTCCTTGCTTACCCTTCCATCTCAGTTCAGGTGTCACTTCTAAACCCCCCAAACCCACCACATCACCCGTCTGATTCCAGAATGTGTTTCCTGGGAGCCCAAGGCATTCTCTGTGAACCCTCTCAGAGGCCCCACTAGAGCCAGGCTTTCAATCACGCCTCCCCACCAACTCACAACTCCTTGGGGCCAGCTACATGGTATATATATGAGTCCACAGACTAAAACACTTTATTTCGTATTAATAATGTTATAATTTTAAAGTATGGAAATTGAGAGCTGAGGGAATCTCAGAAACCTTTTATTCCAACCCTCCACTCTTTTTGAGATTTTAAATGACTTGCTCCCAACCAGAGAAGAAGCAAGGACCAGAATCCAGATCTTGAAACTCTTGTTCCAATGCTCACACCACGCTGCCATGCCTTTGCAAATTTATAGGATTAAATGAGGGAAATCAGAATTTAATTCAATCCCTGGTCAATTTTAGAAGCCTTTTGGAGGAGATGAATTGCATGGTTCAGAACAGAGCCAGGATAAAAACTCAGATCTAAGCTGAGGAGCAGCACTCTTCCCATATATATCATAATGATTCAGCTTTCAAATGGAGGGGTGGATGTAGAACAAAGGTCAGCATGGCCCAGGACCAAAATCCTGCCAGGCCTGTTTTTGTACAGCTTACAAGCTAAGAATGCTTTTTACATTTTTTGATGGGTGGGGAGAAAAAAGAAAAAAAGAGTTATATATAAAATTCCAATTTCAGTGTCCATTAATAAAGTTCACCGGACTACAGCCATGATCATTTGTTTAGATATTGTTTATGGCTGCTCTTGTGTAACAACTGCACAAGTGAAAAGTGAGAGAGACCTGCTGCAAAGTCTAAAATATTTACTATCTGGCCCTTCACAGAAAACTCTGCCGAATCCTGGTGGAGGAGGCGCATTTGCTCTCTGAGAAATCAGAAGAAAAGCTGGACGGACTACCATCAGACTCAGCAGTCCTCAGTTTAGAAAAACAAAGGGTTTGGACAAAACAGATACCTCTGTCACATCTTCATGCTGAATGAGAGGGCTCGAACTTCATTCACTCACCTAGGCAGAGGGTAAGCTGGGACCTTCGAAGCGGAATGGGACAGAGATGGCCTGCAAACACTGGTCTTTCTAGAGCAGTGGTTCTCAACCTTCCTAATGCCGCGACCCTTTAATACAGTTCCTCATGTTGTGGTGACCCCCAATTTCATTGTTACAAATTGAACATAATTAAAGCACAAAAACAGTATGTAATTATATATGTGTTTTCCGAAGGTCTTAGGCAACCCCTGTGAAAGGGTCGTTCGACCCCCTAAGGGATCGCGACCCACAGGTTGAGAACCGCTGTTCTAGAGTGACTCTTCCCCACTATTCCACACTGTACCCAAATGGCTCGTAAGTTCCCTGCCAGCTCCCTACCATATGATTCCAAGATAGAGAACTACCCTTGACTTTGAGAGCAAACCTGCGCAGCTAAATGGAGGCAGCGAGGGCAAAGCATACCATTTTAGTCAGCCACCAGCCCGGAATCTGGCATTGACTAGCTTCTATGTGAATCTTGGAGCCAGTTATGATCCCTTGGTCTTCTCAGCTAAGAAGGACAGTAAGAAGGCACTTCCTTCATTGGCTTGTTTGGAGGATTAAATGAGATACAGTTCAAATGTCAGGTCCCCTCTAATCTTTCTCCCCTTTCCAGACAATAAACAGTAAGTGAACCTTGTTAGAAAACTTTCAAATAGGCTCACAGTTTACAATTTTTTAATAGAGCCACATAAAAAATATATCAGTGCAGTAAAAATAAGGTATTTGGTTGGGTGTTTCCCTCACACATCTTTCAGTTCTTTGAAGCTTCTTCCAAATTATAATCCCAGAATAAGAATACTGCAGTTTTTAGAAAAGTTATGTTTATGTAATTTTTATAGCAAGCTACCCAAAAAACCAAGCTACACTATATTATACTCATGTTCACTTATGAAGACCACGATTGTAAAAAAAAAAAACCACCCAGAACCAGAAAATCCTAGTTTATTTAGTCTGACTTCCTTAACATGAAGTTCTTCTTGTTCATAAAATAGTCAGCTTTGGGTGAATTCCAAAACTGACATAAGCCTAATTCAGGTGTTTTGAAGAAATTGAAGACAATCAGAGCTGAAAACAAGACTGGAATATAAAATGTGTTATGTGATCACAAATGCAAGAACCTTATTGTCTGAAACCACCATTAAATAAAATTTTCTGCCCATGCTTATAAAAATAAAGAAGTATATATTCTCTCAACATTGGTTGCACAGACTACTAAAGGTTAATTTCAGTAACGTGTTCTAATTTCTAATATTTGCTGACACAGATAATTGCTTCAGTCACTAGAACTGCAATAACACTGAAATCTGTGATAGGCTGAAAATACACTTATTTTTTTCATAGCTTGTGCTAGCAATCACCTTAATGGCCACTTTAGTCTCAGTTATGAAGATAGCCTATCAGCATTTTAAACAATGTTAAATTACACACTATCCAGCCCATCCTGGTGTACGGGGTAATAAAACCAGACCCTAGTTCTTTCACTGAAATCCTAAAAAGATACCACACAAGTTTAGCATGAGTGACAAGGTTATTACTCTTGGAAGTAATTAGTTGAAAGTTCAAATTGATACGAGATGGGAAATTCAAGCCACTAAACTTGTTTAGGTAAAATGACTCGGGAGATCATGACATGACAGGCAAATGCATAGATACACTCCTCGTGCGGCTGGCTTTGACATGGTCATGGTTTCTGTGCTCCCAAAACTACACAGAAAAAAAGGGGGGGGGGGGGGGGGGTAACGTCATCTAACAGTCACAGGTAGACATAGAAGGACAATATGGGCCAAACCTAACAGAAGAGAAACCAAGACACGAGTGAAGAAGGGCTGATTGGGGCTGATGAATAGAAGTTCTTTATGAGGACCACGCGGACCCCGGGCTCCAGCGTGGCCGTGGGTGAGTCGGTCCCTCGCACCGATACACACGGGCTCCTGCGCCAGCACCCACTCGCTCCTAGGAAGGGCGAGCGCCAGGAGCAGCCGCGCAGCGCCGCTCGCTGCCCCTAAGGTGGGGCAAGAAGTAAAGTAGGAAGCACGCCTGCTGCCCAGAAAAATGTATTTTCTCCCCTGTTAGCGGCCCCTGACCGCGGAGGATGGGGAAGGGGTTACACACAAACCTGCATTGTAAAAACGGTCCAGCACCGTGGTCTCCCCAAAGTCCAGTTTTCCAAAATGAAGGGTCTCCAGAGTGGCGCCCACCGTCTCGCACGCCTCCCGCAGGCTCTGCAGGGCCTCGGTCTCGGACACCACCTGCTGCCCCTGGCTCTCTTCGTTGATCACATAAGCCACCGTGGTCCGTCGGCCGCCGCCCCCACCAGAGTTGCCCCGGCAACGGACGGCGCTGCTCCCGGAGGCGGCGGCGGGACACCCAGTGACCGGGGCGGCGGCACTCTCCACGTTCCAGAAGCTGCCCGCTGGCGGCGGGGGCAGCTGGTTCTCCTCGCCCTCGGCCACCGCCGCCGCTCCTCCCCTCCAGCAGCTGCCGTCCTCGGCGAGGGCACAGAGGCCCGAGTGGGCTAAGGGTGGCACGGAGAAAGTGATGCCCTCGCCCGTCTCCGCGCTCATCTTTCCCGGCCGGGCTGCAGCGGCGGCGTCCCCCGCGCAGCCGCTCCGTCTGGGCAGCCACAGCTCGGGGCTGCTCCGCGCGCGCCGGGCTAAGCAGCTGCCATCGCGAGTCGTGCCTTCCGCGCCGCGCCGACGCCTCCTCTCGGACGCCCTTTCCCCCGAAGGGACGCCGCTGCCCGGCGGCGCCTCGCCCCTCCTCGGCGCCTCCGTGGCCGCGCCGCTCGCCCGCCGCAGGGTGTAGAGTACAAGGGGTGGGACGGCGCTTCCTTTTCTTGGCGGGCGGACAAGTCGGCTCGCAAACCTGCGCGGCGGTGCAGCTCAAGGGCGCCGCGTTCGGGGTGCGAGTGTCCGGGTGTGTCAACCCGGGGCCCCGGCTCCTTCCGCGCGGGGCGCTCGGGGAGGAGCCAGGCGGAGCGCCCTTCGGGTGGGGAGCGGAGCTACCTGGCCCGCACCTGACGGGCAGGCAGGCAGGCGCGCTGGCGGCGTGTCCGAACAGATCGGCCTCCCTGCTCGGCAGCAGCTCCCTGGGATCTGTTCTACGTCTTCCTACTCCCCGGCCTCCTTTTACTTCCGAGTGCTGCGGCCGCTCAGCCCCCGCGCCAGCCTCGCCGCGGCAGTGCCCGCGCTCGCCGCTCGCCCTGCCGGCCACAGGCTCCTGGCCGCCCACTCGTCGCGGCACCGAGAGTCGGGCCCGCCCCAGAGGAGGCGCCGCTGGGAAGCCGGAGCCGGGACGAAACTGACCGCGCCGCCGCTCCCGGATCTCAGCCCCAGCGCGGCGCCGAGCCAAGGTTCTCCGCCACCAACCGGGCCCCCGCCGAAGAAGACCCGGAGTCGGCAAAAGCCCGAAGCGCACGCGACAACAGGGTGGCGCAAAAAGTCTGTGTAGCGAATGCTGGGGCCTCCGGAGCTACAGCCCCAGCAGCGTTTGCAGCATTTCCCGTGGCCACGGCGCCCCCCTCTGGCCCCTGCCGGGCTCGCTCGACAGCGCCGGCTAGAAGGACTGGGGCCGCCCAGGAGGCCGGCTTTGTGGAAGGCGGGAGGATTTCAACGAGCGCCCCGGAGCTGGGGCCTAACTGGGGAGAGTGGTTTGTTCGTGACAGTGCGCTCCGGAAGTGGCAGGCCAATTATCAGGTCTTCCACTGGCACATATCCTTTAAAAATGTCCAATAGTTGTGCTATCATCAATGAATAATTGGTTAGCTCCTGACCGATTTAGCATTCTTATTTAGGGTCTTAACAGTCTCCCCCCTCCTCTCCCCCCCCACCCCAACACACACACACACACACACACACACACACACAAATACGTGTGCCATATATCCATATCCTTGGGATAGAAGATGAGGTCTATACCCGATTAGGCAAATCATCAGCCGCCAGTTAAAAGAAGGAAATTAAGTGACTTACTCTGTTCTTTAAATTGCACCACAGGCCCTGGCTGGTGTGACTCAGTGGTTACATGACTCAGTAGTTAAAGCTGGGCTCCTGCACCAAAGGGTCACGTGTTCAATTCCTGGTCAAGGGCACAAACCTGGGTTGTGGATTCGCTCCTGCCCCTGAGGAAGGCAACCAGTTGATGTGCCTCTCTCATATCTCTCTCTCTCTCTCTCTCTCTCTCTCTCTCTCTCTCTCTCTCTTTCTCCCCCCCCCCCCCACTCCATTTGTCTCTCACATCCATGTCTCTCTCAAACAGCAATAGAAAAAAATATCCTCAGATTAGGATTAACAACTCAATTGCACCATGGAGAGGGGGGCACGAGGGGAATGCTTGGATTGCTTAAGAGCATTCAAACAAAAAGAATCTACTTACTTAAAGAGTAAAAACAGATGTGTAAATTCTCAGAAAACTTCTCCACAATGCTGTAACTTTAGGAAAACCAGTGAAACTTGCAAGGAAGTTACAGGTTTTGGACTTCCCATATTCAGGAATTGCTTGAGTTCTTATGGAAAAAATAGAAGCCCAGAGGCTACCCAATTGTATTCTAAGGAAGCAAAATGGCCTTAGCTCTTTCTAAAGGTTTGTAAGATGATAAAAGGACATTTACAGTTAGGAAACTTTACACTCTTCATGTCAGCTGGAATCTATGTGATTCATTTCTGCTTTTGTGCTTGATATCATTAGAGTGTGTATCAGTGATATACTGAGATAAAATGTTGATAGGCTACTAATAGATATATATCCTTTAGTATTTCCAATAACTTATTAAACCTATAAACTCCTGTTGGAGAAGATAATCCTCTACCCCATCCTGGCCTAAAATAATAGACACTGGAAATTCATTAGAATCTTATCTGGAAAACTAAAATGCCTAAATTCTCAAATAGCATTTTACCATACAAAGACGACCTAAGATTATCATACACTAGTGGCCCAGTGCACGAAATTCGTGCATGGAGTGGGGGGTGTCCCTCAGCCCTGCCTGCACCCTCTCCAATCTGGGACCCCTCGGGGGATGTCTGACTGCCGGTTTAGACCCAATCCCACTGCTGGCTCCTAACTACTCACCTGCCTGCTTGATCACCCCTAACCACTCTGCCTGCCAGCCTGGTTGCCCCAAACTTCCCCCCCCGCCGCCAGCCTGCTCAACCCCAACTGCCGGGGTCCAACCCCAGCAGGTCCAGGGGTCCCCAAAGGTGTGGATGGAGTCGGCGAAGAAGGAATGACACGGAGACAGTGTTCAGTTCATCAGCAGCCTAGCCAGGATCTCTAGCCAGGATCTCCAGCCAGGTTCTGTGTCCATGTTCTCTTGGTAGGTTCTCCAGGCAGGTTCTGTAGCCATGTTCCCTCGATAGGTTCTCCAGCCAGGTTCTGTCCAGGTTCTCCAGCCAGGTTTAGTCACCAGATTCTAGTCAGGTTCTCTTGCCAATTTCTGTAGTCAGGTTCAGTCCAGGATCTTTTGCCATGTTCTCTCCAGCGAAGTTCTTCTGTCTGTAGGTTCTGTGTAGGTTCTGTCTTCTTAGCTCTGTGTTCTAAGCTCTGTATTCTAAGTTCTGTCTTGCTGTCTTGTTACATCTGTATTTATACCAGTTGATTCAATCCTATCAATCTCTATTACAAAGGTTAGGGTGTTTCTTATCTCCATTCCAGGGAGTAAAGATTATGTAGCTTAAGCATGATTGTTCATAGTTAAAGTGATTAATTACCCGCCTGGCACTTAGTTAAGAGGTTTTATTCCCTCCCTAACTTCAGGGGAAAATCCATACTTGGGGAAACAACCTTTCTCAGAGACCTTGGTTAAAACACATAGTGCCAAGAAGGTGAGCAAACATATTAAGAACAGTATGCCATATATGCCAGGTCCCTTGAAACAGCAAGCATGGACTGGCTCCCGGCACCCAACTGCCGCCCCACTGGCCTGATCACCCCCAACTGCCCCCCCACCAGCCTACTTGCCCCCAACTGCCCCCCCCCACCATCCTGATTGCCCCAATGCCCCCCCCCCCCCAGAGCCAGCCTGCTCACCCCCAACTGCCTTCCCCTCCTGGCCTGATCACCCCTAACTGCCTCTGCCTTGGCCCTGCCACCATGGTTTTGTCCAGAAGGACGTCCAGAAGGTCTCTCGGTCTAATTAGCATATTACCCTTTTATTAGTATAGATAACTAGAGGCCCAGTGCACAAAATTCATGCATGAAGGGGAGGATCCCTCAGCCCGGTCTGCACCCTCTCCAATCTGGGACCTCTTGGGGGATGTCCACTGGCTCCTAACCACTCACCTGCCTGACTGCCTGATTGCCCCTAACTGCTCTGCCTGCCTGCCTGATCACCCCTAACTGCTTCCCTGCCGGCCTGATCGCCTCTAACCACCTCTGCCTTGGCCCCTGCCACCGTGGCTTTGTCCAGAAGGAGACCAGAAGATGTCCAGTTGACCTGGCCTAATTAGCATATTACCCTTTTATTAGCATAGATTAGTCAGCTCAGACAGCCATAACAAAAATACCATAAATTTGTGTGGCTTAAACAACAGAAATATATTTTTATCACAGTTCTGGAGGCTGGAATTTTGGGTCAGGCTACCAGCATAGCATCGTCCCATACACCAGAAAGTGGTGGGTCGATTGCCAGTCAGGGCACATGCCCAGGTTGCAGATTCAATACCCATTCCAGTGCGTGCAGGAAACAACAGAACAATGTTTCTCTCTCTCTCCCTTTTTCTCTCTGAGATCGATTATGATGAACTAGAGGTCCGGTGCATGAAATTCGTGCACTCAGGGGAGTCCTTCAGCCTGGCCTGCGCCCTCTCGCAGTCTGGGAGCCCCCAGATTGATGCCCCACTAAGGAAGGCCCTGCCCACCAGCAGGGGCTCTGCGATTGATGGCAGCCAGCAAAGAGGGAGTCCCTACCCACCCTGCCCAGGCTCTGTGATTTATGCTGCACAGAGGGACGCCCTTCATACCTGGTCCGGGCTCTACCATTCATTGTTGCCCATAGGGAGGCCCTGCCCACCCTGCTGGAGCTCTGGGATCAATCACAGAACAGAGAGAGGCCCTTCCCACTGGGCTGGGGCTCTGCCATTCATCGCTGCCCACAGGGTGGCCCTGCCCACCCTGCTGGGGCTCTGGGATCAATCACAGAGCAGAGGGAGGCCCTTCCTACCCAGCCTGTGCTCCGCCATTGATCCCTGCCCACAAGGAGGCCCTGCCCACCCAGCCGGGGCTCAGTGATGGGCCCTCCAAGCCATGGTGGCTTGCCTTGGCCCTTGCAGCCGTGGCTTTGTCTGGAAGGACATCTGGAAGACGTTCAGTCTATCCGGTCTAATTAGCATATTACCCTTTTATTAGTATAGATGATAAATAAATAATGTTCTCTAAGTATGGTTTTAACAAGAAAGACATTAGTGATCTATGAAGTGAAAAACTCATTATAACACATATATACAGCATGACCCCATTTAAAAATATATATATTTATTGATTTCAGAGGAAGGGAGAAGGAGCGATAGATAGAAACATCAATGATGAGAATCATTGATCAACTGCCTCCTACATGCCCCTACTGAGGATCAAGCCTGAAATTTGATCAGGAATCATATCATGACCTCCTGGTTCATAGATTGATGCTCAACCACTGAGCTCCACCAGCCAGGCCCCATTTTTATCAATACCAGGCACATGAGGTACATTGGCAAGATCTCACGCCTAGACGGAAGTCTGAAATTGCCCAAACTCCTTTGCAGCTAGGTTTCTGGATATGAATTCATTTCTGCCGGTTGGATGCACTTGCACAATATTTTGAAGGCAGAAGTGGGGCAAAGGCATCTTCCTGCAGTGTGGGCTGTTTGCTGCTGGTGATCATGTTTGCAGAGATGTGGAGGTTT